ATCTAATCCATTTTTTTTTTTATTTTAAATATTGTTGGGATTTAATTTTTTTTATAGATTGTACTGGTAATTTTATCTATGGTAATGTAAAAGATAAAAAATTAACAATCATTTATAATTTCTTACCTTTTTAGCATGTTCTTGTCCAATTACATGCTTATTTAGATACTCATAGATTTTCTTCGGTGGGGGTGGTGGTTTTCGGAAAAATCCAGTTTTTAAATCGACACCCTCTTTTTTTTTACTGTCGACCTCACTCAACACCACGAAAAAGTGGTGGCATTTTTCGCACTTGACGAACCTTGTGGAGCTGACAAAGGTCTCGACGTGAGTGCAAGGGTCTCCACATTTCGGACAGCATAGGGTATTTTTGTTTTTACCTCCACCGGCTCCGGCAGTTCCTGTTCCTCCAGTACCGGGGGGACCACCTGGAGTTACATTTTTTGGAGGAACACTTTCTATTGGGGGTTCGCCAGATCCAGCAGATTTTAAAACCATTATATTCGTTGATAAACACTTCCATTTTGGGGAAAGATCGTTTTGCAGGGCCAGAAGAAGACCTTTAATAAGAAGTAGGATAACAACAATTAATATCAATCGAATAATTTAAAAATTCTATAACAACTCTGCCAAAAGCTAAATTCATTCCATTTTGTATGCTAGTCATATTAATATTCATTTATTCACGTATTGAAAACCACTAATATAACAACATTTATCCATGAAGCTTGTATATTAAAAAGTAATCCTTAAAAAGTTGTTCTAACAATAGAACAGGTGTTATAAATACAACGTACATATTTAAAAATAACGCTGTCTATAAATGTTTTGCCAGTGAATTGGCAAAACAACGCCAATCCGTTGAAGATTTAAGGAATAATCGCCTATATAAAATTTTGCAACTTATTACATTTATTTGTTACATTCTTTAGGAAAAGGAAAATTTTTTAATGTTTCACTTAATTAATTAGAAAGGAAAGTTAGGTAGTTAAATTGAATTTTTAACTTTTAGTACAAGCTACACAATATACGTACAGAGGGATGTATTCTAATTAAAATGGGTGGCAAATTAACTTTTTGCCTTGTAATTGTTGCAAAGTGAAAGTAATTACGAATATAATAAATAAATACACTTAGTATTTCATTATTCCATAGTCGTCTTTATGAAATACCTGCAAAACAAATATTGAAATATATATATATTTACAAAATTGCTACAAAATGCCCATGTGTCAGTTCAGTAATTTGTACACTTCCAACAAATGTAATTTTCGAACTCTCACCAACTCAGTGTACTTTTTATACTTTTTATAAGCCTACAAAATAGAGTATACTTATTAAATTTTCTCTAATTAAAAGAAAATGTAATTTGTAAACAGAAATGTGATAACTTTCCAGATAAGCACATATATCAACTTGATAAATGCAAATTGTACAATGTATATATGTACGTGGAAGCAATAAACTTTAATGGTTTATAATTAAATGTGCTTTAAACCGCATAAATTTCTTTTGTGCGATGTAAATTAATAAATAACTTGCAAACCCAGATAAAGACCCATTCACCTCCAGTTGTGCAATTTGAAGGATTATTTCAAGTACAAATACAAGCATACCTTTATACAATATGCTACTTATAAAAATATCAAAATCAGCTTAAATAATAAACATATTACGTATATTTTGCCATAATAATGTCTCATTGTGCGCATTTGGCACTAATTAAAAATTATTTTCAAAACTCACC